TGTTGACTTTTTTGTGCGTACTGACCTGCTACACATGCCCAGCGAATCTTGTAGCTGTAGGTGAAACGACCATCGACAACAGTCAGTTGAATGCAAAACAGTGAAAATGGACAAAATGGCCATTGATCGAAATTGGACGGGCCACCATTTCCAAACCGGGCCTCATCTGCTGAGCGTTTGAAGAACTTTTAGTCACCACGTCCTGTAGTTTGTGCCTGCCAAATGTCAGGTGTGTACGACGAACCCCCTAGGAGGAGTTTGATTTTGAAAATGGCCAAAAATGGCCATTTTTGAGCAAAAATGGCCCGGCATGGTCGCGGTTTTTCCAACGTGGCGGATTTCCTGTTGGGTTTACAGAAACATGCTAATGGACTTTTTTGTGTGTCACAAGTTGCTACACATGTGTGGCGAAGGTCATAGTTGTAGGTGAAACGTAGCCGCAATGGGACTCCGTTATTATTAAGGGCACAATTGTCCTTGAATGCTGTGCAAACTTGTATAATTGTTCTACATTATCTGATATGTAAGCAGTACATCCACATATTGCAGCCAAGTAGTTCTACTTCTTTATTATATTGTATTTCATGTTTTTGCCTCATCATGACAACTTTGAAATTTTAATTGTTTTCATTTCCATCTTTTCCGTAAATATCTTTTTTCTATCGCCGCAATCTAACTGGCTGGTAGTCCTCTTATGCTCCTGCATCATGAAAGCTGGTGAACTAGAAGACAACCTGTCCTGCACTCAGCTAATCTGCCCAGAAACACCACCAGCCTCTCACTCATGCCAGGAAGCCCCATGTTTGGGTGCTCACGGTTCTACAGCCCTCTCAGCTCCAGGACTGTTACAGGAATCACGAGCCTCCACCAGCCAGAACCTGAAGCCCCAGACCTCGCTGTGAGCACCGCCCTGGAGGGAGGAGGAGATGGGGGTAAAGGTGCGGGGGCAGCACTGTGGGGAGTGTGGGGATCTGCTATTGGATGTTGTCCTGGTTGTATTCTCTCCGCTCATCGGTGTGGGATTCTGCTTGGACTGTGTTGTATTGAGCAGCAGGACGACCCACAGGCTGCATAAGTCTTCATACAGGGTCTGTGAGATGATGACCAATGACCACTGTGAGACTTTATGTATGTCACAGAAAGTGACACGAAAGGAAGATACGAGAACATTTCCCTGTTTCCAAGCATTTACATATTTTATGCATGTTTTTCTCATATGTTTAATGGCATCTGACAATTTTTTAATTTTTTAAAAATCATTTAATTCTGCATTCAGGAACTCCACTGCAGTGAAAATCATACTGACCTTAATTCAGATTTATGTATACCTCAGGTGGTCAAAACTCTTGCTGTGTGGCTCATTCAAGGAAGCTCCAACATTCAAGCATTTACAGGAGCTGTCCATTATTACTGTATTGGTGACAATAAACTGACAATGCCTAAAGAATTCTGTCACTTTGCACTATTCATGCATTTCCAAAGCTTCCACTCCAGCAAAGAACCCTCAAGTTTTGCAAGACAACCTTGATGCATCAGGGAGGATTTTATTAAATAGGATTACTATGCTTATTGGATTACTTTAATAGGGCAGTGCATGATTTTTTAAAAAAATACTAAACCTAATGTTATCCCTCAGCTGGCTGGGACACCATGCATGGGATGCTATGAAAAACTGGTATCATTAATGATTTGGATAAAACATAAACATATGATCAATGGGACACTTGCACTTTGTGAATTTTAACTCTGTCCTCTTCACAAAACTACTCTTCTGTTCTAAACACCTCATTTGCTCTCATTAATGCTGAGGTATGATTTACTGTAATCCAAGCAAGCACGCCTAAAAATATACTTTTTCATGTTGTGTGCACCACCTAGTGGTGTTACAGCACCATGCTTGTGTGAAGGTGATATAACACAGAGCTGATATGCTTTTTACATAACTTCCATGGTGACATGTGGTTATATAATCCTCCAGGAACAAACTGATGTAAATATTTCAGCTGTAACTGTCAAATCAAGAGAACAGTGGTGGAAAGTAGCTAACATATACTCAAGGACTATCGTGAACATTTGGAGGTACTTGAACTGGAATATTTTCATGTTAAGGTTCCTTTGTATTTCTACATTTTGCAAGGAGATGTAGCATTTTTCAGGTTAACATTTGACATTAATAAAACACATAACAAGTGCAGAGCAGTTTGTACCAGTGGTTTCCAATCTGTTGGACTTGTGAACCCTTAAAAGTAGGACACATCTTGTTCTTGCCCTTTGTCATACTTAACATCTGAATTGTTCCCTCAAAAGTGGGATTTTTTTTTTTTTAAACCTTTATTTAAACAGACGGCCACTGAAAGCAAACTCTTTCACAAGTGCTCTTCACACTGAGGTCTGAGGTTAAACGTTCCAGTATTTCACAACAAAAGCCAAAGCTAATGAATTGTCTGCAACCTGAATACATTTTTTTCTTTCTTCCTACCTCATTTATCACCTCAAGACTGCACAGATCTATTTTTGACCCTACACAGGGAACTACTGAGCTTAACAATGAAACTGACGGATATGCATTAATGCATGCGTATCTACAACATCATACTGTCATATAGTAAATGTATGTATGTCACAGGGACCATTTCTCTGTATAATGAATGTTTTTACTTGGCAGGACTTGTAATGAAGTATTTTCATATTGGATTGATACCTTTACTTGAGTACAGAAGAGTTTATCTTCAACTGCTGATCTGTTCTCACTAAAGAAAAGTTGACAAAAAAAAATCAGTCTGCATTGGGGATCAATGTTAAAGCCTGTTATTCATTGCAAACATTTATTACATTTTTTATGATGCAAACAACAGCAAGTCCCACCCTTGTTGGAACAGCTCATCACGTAGTCATGAGGGAATGAAAGAGACACAAAGGGACAGGGACAGAAAAAGTGTGTATTATGCGCAATTCCATTGTTTCCTGTAAAAAAAAAAGAAAAAACAAAAACAAAAAAAAAAAAAAAAAAAAGCATGACAATCATCTTTCATTGTAAATTTTGGCATCTTCGTTCCTTCTGTTGTACTCTGCAATAATGGTCATTAAAAATTAAAAAGAACAAGGCATGCATAATAGTTTCTGGTAATGCACATAGATCAAAGGATACCACATATAAATACAAAATCCATGTACGATGATCATGTACATTTCATATATATATGGTCCCTTTCTTAGGCCTATCTGTTCCCACTGTGGGACTGTGTCTTTCACTTGGTCACTAAATTCACCCTGTAAAAAGGTTCTGAGCTGGAAAATACATCTGTAGTATGGACTTCTAATATTGACGACTACTCGATGTTACAACCGTTCCTCCCTCATTCCTCCCTTCGTCTCTTACTGCATGTTATTATGAAGCTATTTATTGCAAGGTTTTATTCACTTAAATAGTTTCCTTTGCATCAGCTGACCATTGTGCTATCTACACAATTTCATCAAACCTTGCCAGAGTTATAGCCAGTATTATTTCCTATTAAAAATCTCCTCCAATTAGTTATACTACCACCCCATGCTTCTCTTTAAAAAGGGAGCCCGCTGACTATTTGGATCCATTCAGTGCTTCTGTGCCCATGAGACAGAAGCCTGGAACAAAAACAGTTTAACTTCCAAGTAACCTAAACAAATGGATCTAATTTCTGATACACTAAGATAAATGCACTGGTCCATTTTAACAAATGGGTGAAACAGCCACACATCTATAGTGAGGGCTGAGTACGTGGCCACAACTCTTGATTATTGAAACCATGTAAACAAAAACAAAAAAAACAAAGGGAAAAAAAACAAACAGGACAAACCAAAACACGGTGATTAAATACAATGTTGAATGAATGTCTTTACTGTTAAAAAAGTGTACTGCAATGTATACAACTATGTTGCTTGCTCTCATTGCTCAAAATGAGCTGAAGGGGGGGAGGGGGAAGGAGGTGGAGAGGATTGTTGATATACCAATGAAATCATATACAGATTTACAGTTATAATGCATCTATCATCACACTCAACAGATGGCAGGAAGGGAGGGAGAGAGAGGGCAGCAAACGACAGACACAATATAGAAAAGATTCATCCGTTTGAATTTGAACACCCTTTGCTGTGGAACCAATGCTATGTTTCTCTCTTAAAAAAAAAAAAAAAGAACAAAACAAGAAAGAGAGATGGAAACGAACGTGTATGTGCGCATACATGTATGAATGCTGTAAGTGCGGAACCAAATGTTCGACCAATAAAAGTCTATTGGGATCAAGTTGTACTGGTTTCTCTGATGGTGGAGTCAGACTTGATTAACCAAACATGGGGCTGAGTATGATGGTGGCGACGGTGGGCGTCTTGAGTGGTTGGATTTCGCGCCCCCCCCAATGGTGGTGGTGGTGGTGGTGGTGGTGATGTCGGTGTGTTAAGGGCTTGGCTGCTTTAGTCGATGTACTGGGAGAGCCAGCGGAAGCTCTCGCCGTAGCCCTGCCTCTTCAACACACTGCACATGAACACCTCCAGTGGTCTTGTGTTCAGCTCCTTCATGGGAATGTTGCCCTGAGAGAAAAGCAGGACACAGTCACACCAAATACAATTTCGTGAATCAGCGAACTAGCCTGAAACGTTGCTTAATTTACACTATTAAGTTCCTTTTTGTTTAAAAAATAGAATAATTCTGTGTTCTATTCAAAGACTGTGTGATACATGTGTAAAGAATGTCATATAAAAACATGAATCTACTCATGTAGTGAGTTTCGATTTGTGTGAAATTTCAATTTCAAATCAAGATGGCAATTTAAAACAATGCAATAAGCAAAGTGAAGTGGCTGCAGTTTAGCATATACATCATGCAGCAGGTCTGACCCGGGGTTTAAACTGTTGTGCTGATGGTTTGATACTTTTGATGGTGTCTCAAGCAATCGTACTCCATTACATGTTTTAAATCTATAATACAGTCTCTATTGAATTGAAACCAACTTTAAAATGACTTTAAAAAAAGAAAAAAAATGCCTTCAGCAGTAGAGCTTTCGCTTCGACTCCCAGTCAGCCAGCCCTTTATGGCAGGTCAATGCTCGTGCTGTCTGACATATTCTGTCAAACATAAAGGCTAAAATGCCAGATAAAAATGCTAACCTAGCAAAGCAAAACTTGATTTGTTTTTTAATAGTTTATTTTTTGTGCTTAAGACTTAAAAACAGACCAAATAACTTGTCATTATTAGCATACTGCAGTGAGGACTCATCTTCCTGTAGTTCAGCTTTTAGATTTTCATTTAGCCTTATCTCTAGTGTAGTCTCAGGTCAATGTTTGACAGTGATTTTTCCATATTTGCATTTGTTTTATAGGAGGGATTAGAGCAAGAAAAACTTCTGTTCCTTAAATGTGTGTTTAAGGGGTAGGACAGTAGAAGACTGTGTTACAACAAGAAAGAATTAATTGAAAATGAACATAGCCCAGCATTCTGAAGGCTACATGGAAGATGGATGTCGCTTGGGCACGACTCAAAAAGACAAGAAGACCAGATCTGATGATTTCTAAATGTCAATCATCATGTTAACTTAAAAGGCCCTAATGGAATGTGAAGGTCCTAATAAAAATGCATCATCTGCCTCTTCTGTCTAATAATTTCTAAGTCCAAGCAAAACTTTTAAAGTCATAAAGAATATCCAGTATGCCTCTTTTAAACATGTCAATACTTTATTTGTTGGTCACCACGTGGGATAATAGGCCTACTACTGCTACTGCTGCTGCTTTGCAACACTTTTGCAAGCATATGCAAGAATATTTCCTGTCAACATACATATCTGTTTTTGAATCTAAAATGGCCCTGCGCTACATATCCTTGTCTTCCCTCCACATGCTATGACTATTTCTATACACTTTAAGATGCTCAAGGATCCACAGACAAATGTTGTGTTGACTTACCTTGCCTGTCGTTTGTCCATATAATCCAAAAATTTCCCTCAGCTTCTCCTCGCTGATGGCCTCTGGTCTGTCGATCTTGTTGCCCAGGATCAGGATAGGCACGTTTCCGATGGTCTCGTCTGTCATTAATGCCTGGGAGGAGGATGAGGTATTACTATGAGGCTTAAATTTTATTTTAATTTCAATTTCAAATCTTTAAGGTGATTTAAAAAAAACAAAAAAACTTGACCTTCTGATACTACAATGCTAATCTGTGATGGTGGAATATTTAGTGCCTACTGTAAGTAATTTTGCGAGTATTGTCATTTACGTCTACTAAAACAAATAATCTTAAAATTACACTTGTGATATAAGATAGTGCTTTGAGATGTTCGGTGGGAGCAATATAAAAGAACTTGGACTGAATTGATATCCCTTTGAAAATTGTGCAAGTGAATTGAGTTATACTGTATATATAATTGCTAGACAGCAGTCGCTTGGCAAGATATTTTAGTGATGTTAAGACAGACAGGAGGTGAAACTATAAAAACACCATTAAAACGAGTGTCGTATTTTATAAGTCTTTGTGGTCGCAGAAATGGATACATTTGTCTTCCGTAAATCTGACAAAAGATGATTGGATTAAAAAGTAGAATTTGCGCTGTTTCTTTCTCTGACACATCCATTACTCCCTTGCAATAAATATCCTGGATAGGAAGCATTTCTAAAACACAAACAACATAAATTCTTACACCAGGGGTCGGCAACCTTCAACACTCAAAGAGCCATTTGGACCTATTTCCCACAGAAAAGAAAACACCAGGAGCCACAAAACCCTTTTGACATCTAAAATGAAGACAACACTGCATTTATCATTTATACCCTCATGCTATGAACAAAAACTATAGTTTCTTACATTTAGGAAATCTATGAACTGCTACAGAGGAAACAAAATTTTATTTCTGCAACAAAAACATTTTGAACAAAAAAAAAAAAAGACACTGGGTTGAAGGTTACTTTCAAACAAAATACTCAACGTCTATTTGAGTCCTCCTCGTATTTATGAAATAAAAAAACAATCTTAAATCATCCACCTGCAGCAAAGTAAAAATGACGTCTGGTTGTCCTGCTGCCTGCAGCTGGGACTGCTGACCAGACTGCTGACCGCCTGTGAGCGCTTTGGGA